CAGGGTCCTGGGAAAACCCATTCAGAAAGGTACAGGATTGAAGGAGATAGCACAAACTTCAGTTCCCACCCAGAAGAGTCCTTTCTCTGGCCCATCTTTTGAGTCCCTGAGCAGAACCACATCCAGTGACAACTGGGCTCTCAGATGCTCCTTCAACTGTACACAAGGGCAGCTTGCCCTCTCAGCCCCACACTTATATACTCGTGGGCATAACCTGGCACAATGATGCTGTCCTGAGATCTGGAAGAAACAGCCTAAAACCAAGTCTAGGCCTTGAAATAGACAGAAATGAGTCCCTGGAGTGTAGTGTGAGCTCACAAGTCTCATGCCACAGCGTGTCATCACTTCAGGTAGGGCCCCAATTTTTAAAAGGTGAAGTCAGAAAGATAGAGGATGATAAAGAGGAGTCTTCTGACTGGGGAATCACCAAGAAAATCAGAAAGACATTAAACTTCCTAAATGTTGATACTCATCTGAAGAATTTAAAATCTCAGTGGATCAGTAAAACACCATCCTCTTTCATGAGTTCTATTTCCCAGGGCCAAGGATACTCATGCCTAAAGGCACAGACTAAACCAGAGAAGCAGCCTCAAGAACGGACTACTGACATCATCCTGCAAGACTGTGCCACTGACATGTTTCATGAGGACTGTGGCCCCAAGGTGCTCTGGACTGCAAATATCCTAACTTCAGAGGAGAGATAGTCCAGCTCCTTAAGCATTACCAGTAGCAGTGCATCAATTTCTCAGGATCTGTATGGACTCTCAACCAGTGAAGAGAGCAGTGAGGAACTGTAGGAGCCCAAGATTACTGAGCTCCAGGATCCTTGGAAGAGCAGGAGAAATAAGTTTAGAGCAACTTCCAAGAATAAGGACAGTGTGAAACTCAGGTAAAAAGCACAGGAAGAAAGGCTTGCAGAAGGGAGGCCCTTATGTACAGGAGAAATGGGTCCTTCTACCCCAGTCAGGGAGATAGGAGACACTGTGAGTGACAAGTCCTTCCAGGCTCCTTCAAAGAGTAACTTCAGGAACAGAATAAAGAACTTTCTGCAGAATATTTTTTGCAGTAATACTAAAGGGCAGGCAAACTCCCTACCCAAAATTATGACCCCCTCAACTCCTAACCAAAACCAAGGGTCAGTCACTGGCCTACTGCTTACAGACAACAGGGCATCAGAAACCCAGGCACTCATTTCAAATTTTGGGTGGATCATAGAGCAGAAAATGAGGTTTCATTATGAACATTCTGCCTTAAAGACAAACAAAGTTAAAGAGGAATACCAGGCCTCTATGGGTAGACAATCCCATTATTCTAGGAGTCCCATTATTCTGGAGCAAAGGAGAGTGATAGGAGCTACATCTCCTGGTCACCAGGCCAGCCCTAGCGACCACAGCCATCTTCTGAACAGATGGATCAGAAACAAGGACAACAAGCAGGCCTTGCTGCTCAAAGAGTCTGTACCTCTGCCCAGCCTCTACACACAGAGGACCAGGGTGGCAGGTATGTTGTAACACAATGTCCACTGTCCAGTGCACTGTGCTCTTCAGAGATGATTGTTGACTCATCAACATCAACATGCTTCTGACTCCTGTCCTGCTGGGAAGAAATATTTCATATAATATTGATCATATTCAGAAAAACTGTCCCCATGTGAGACCTTTGTTTGAGAATGGCTTCTTCCTAATGTGGTGACAATGACTTAATAATACTGCTTTTTAATCAGAGCGGCTTCTGTCTGTGTTGTGCTGGGTCATAGGGAAGCTTGTCAGTAGATTCTAGAAAAGACTGGACATGCAGGGAGGTGACAGTGGCAATGAGTACTCAAATCTCATGCCAGATCCCCTCATTATAACTTAATAATTTATGACATGATCATTACAAAAATAACAGAACACATTTTGGGACTGGTCAAAAGGGGCAACTTCATGAGAACCCCACCCTAATGTTTGAGTCAGCCTTTCCCTTTATTCTGAAATTTGTGAGGCTGTAGGGATTGGTGTGCAGTGTTACCATGAGACTTAATAGCTTCCCATGCTACAAATGGGTCCAGAAAATTTGGGGAAAGATACAGTTTCCTGGATCTGAATTCAGAGTTGCTTAGAGAGTCCTGCCTGATGGATGTCTTGGGGAACAGAGGACACCTGCCCTTGGAACCTCTCGCCTTTGGAGGCTAACATAGAGATCGGCCTTGCCAGCTCCTTCTAGCTCAGGCTGCATGCCATGGCCATGTCACCTGATTCTGCTCCTACCTTCCTCACTCTCTAGGGCAGTGACCAGAATGGAAATTGTTTGGTGGGAACATCAAGTTGGCTGTTGAGGGCTATGTCACACGCAGCTCACCACCTCTGTCCCCCAACTCCTAGATGGCACAAATGTATATTCAATAACTATGTGACAGTGAGGCATAGGGGGTATAGTGGGATGTGGAGAATTGAAATGGAGCCAAAGAAAGAGGCAGAGTAACATGGGGATACCACAGATGGTGTGATGGATGGGAAGCTCCTGCTATCCCAGTACCAGAAATCATGGATTCACCATGGCCTCACCACTGTGTACCATGATCTGGCTCCCAGACCACAGATCTGGAGATGCCTCTTTAGCAATGACACAGGCAATAGAGGAAGCAAACCCTTTGGTAGGGCAGATTCATTTTCTGACATTATACTTAATGGGGCCGCATGGCTTTGCCTCTTCAATTATATAAGGAATGAGTTGACAATTTGAGTAGTCAGGACTAGGGAACTCTAGCTGTGACTCCCAGTTTGGTGAACATTATGCACACACATAGCTCTAACTCTTATTCTGCAGTAAAAAGTCCAAAGGGGAGCCTGGGGTCACAAAGCAAATTCTCTGGGCTTCCAGAACTTACTTGCCCACAGACTAGAGGAGAAGAGATGGTTCAGTTAGAACTTGTCATAGCAGGGCAGTGACTAGTCCAAAATGTGGGAGCAAGCTGGGCAGGGGGCAAGCAGGAGTCTTTTCTGCCCCCACTGTGCTTCCAGCACAGGCTTATTCTTCCCAGGATCTGTTCACATAGGAAAGCAGGCAGGCCTCACAGGAGAAAGAGGAGAAGCTGTGTCTGCAGAATGTTTGATGCTATGACCCACCTGGGGAAGGCAGCAGCCCCACTCCAGGGCACTCTGCCCTGTTTTTCCCTGATGCAGAGTCCTATACCATGAAGTGCCATCAAGGCAGATGACACAGGCATGGTCTTGCTCTAATGCCTGAAAGTACTCCACATGTAAAGCCAGGCAGTCCCTCTCAGGGTGAGCACAGACCTACAGGCCACCCCTGATTCAGGTCCTGCGCCTTGATCATACCAGATCCAGAGCCCCACAGATAGCCCTTCAGAGATCCAACAAAAATATTGCCACAGAGACCATCAGAGAACCTCCAACATAGCAGTTATGGAAACACAAGGCCCTTTCTCAGAAATAACACCAACTTCATGGTCCTCACACAACAACCCTTCTCTGCCACATGGTCCTCATGCAGTAATCTCACAGAACCCCTGATAGACTTCCCAGAGGAACCTCTGACAGATATTTGTACCAAGAGAGGCCTCAGAGACCTAACATAGTCTCCCATAACAACCTTTCAATGCCACATGGTCCTCATGCATTGATTTCTCACAGAGACCTCCCACAGAGTTCCAGA